CTCTACCACTTGAGCCACAGCTCCACTTCCGGTTTTTTCTGCTTATGTGGTGCTGAGGAATCGAACCCAGGGCCTCATGCATGCGAGGCAAGCACTCTACCACTAAGCCACCTTCCCAGCCCCCCTACTTGGTTCTTATAGAATTCCTTTAAAAACTCTTAAACTGTCAGTGGCTCACAATTGTAATCCTAACTACTCAGGAGGCTGAGATCTGAAGGTGGTAGTTCAAAGCCAGTCTAGGTAGAGAAATCCCAAGAGACTCTTATCTTTCATTAACTGTCAAAAAGCCCTAAGAGGAGATGTAGCTTTGAGGATCAAGGTTAGAATCAGCCCAGGCAGAAAAATCCATGAGACTATCTCTAAATTAACCAGCAAAATCTAGAAGTAGAGATGTGGTTTAACTAGGAGAGCTTCAGCTTTTAGCCAGAAAGAGGACTAGAGGCTCTGAGTTCAAGCCCCAGTACTGGCACAAAAAAAAGATGATGAAGAAGAAGAAGGAAGAGGAGGTAGAAGAGGAAGAAGAAGGAGGAGGAGAAGAGGAGGAGGAGGAAGAGTTAGGTTTTGTTAGTTTTATTAGGTTTTTATAGTCTTCTGATGATTTTTTCAGAACATTCATATTTATAAAATGAAAATTATGTAGTTCTTTGTGTGTGACCCTTCTGTTTCATAAGTAAGGAAACATGTATATGAATTTTCTAGTAACAGCTTAAACATGAATCGATTACTAGTTTAGTATTTGGTTTTCTCTTCAGTTGAATATTATTTTGATTAGAATTTGCAATGTAAAGTACCTCAGGGGGGGCAGGTATGGTGGCTCACACCTGTAAATCCAATTACTCAGAAGCTAGAGATTGGAAAGATTAAAATTTGAGGCTAGCCAGATCAAAAAGTTAGCAAGACCTTATTTCAACCAATAAGCCCTTGTCTCAACTAATAAGCCAGTATGATGGTGAACATGTGTTCTCCTAACTCAAGTAGGAAGATCACAATTTGAAGCTGGCCCCAGGCAAATACATAAGACCCTACCTACCTGAAAAATAACTAAAGCAAGCCAGGCACAGTGACTCAGGTCTGTAATCCTAGCTACTCAGGAGGCTAAGATCTGAGTATCATGGTTCAAAGCCGATCAGCACAGGAAAGTCTGAGACTCTAGCGGTAGAGCGCTAGCCTTGAGCTGAAGGGCGCAAGGACAGCGCCCACGCCCAGAGTTCAAGCCCCACGACCGACCAAAAAAAAATAATAGCTAAACTAAAGGGGGGTGGCTTAAGGAGTAGAGCACCTACGTATTTGGAGTCCCTGACTTCACACTCCATTCATTACTGTAAGAGATAAAAAAAGTATATTTCCCGTCTACAGTGATTGTGTGATACCCCTATGGGATTGACCCTCTTGTGAAGAAACTATACATTCTAAGTAAAGTAACCCAATTATCTGAAGCAGATGCTGAAGAGACTGACACTTAGAGGAAGGAAATGATACTGAGTACTTTCCTATTCCACAGTTGCTACCCTAAGGATATTATAGCACACAATGTAGCCAAAACTCAAATAGGAAAATTCATAATATTTCATTTGTTCTAAGAAGTCCAAAAAACAAAATTTGAGGCAACAACAGCCACTAGGATGTCAAAAAGGAATCCTGGCTCTGAGACAACCAAAGAAAAGGCGCTACTTGTGGGGCTGAGATCTAGAGAATCAAGGTGTGGGGCCAGCCTGTGCCTCATCCCGGCAGAAGCAGGCATAGTGGCGCTGGCTTCTCATCCATCTGTGTGGGAAGCATAAGTAGGATTTTAGTCCAGGCAAAACCGAGACCATATTGGAAAAATAATGAAAGCAAAAAGGCCTGGAAATATGACTCAACTAGTAGACTGCTGTGTAACAAGCACAAGGCCCAGTACCACAGAAGGTCAAAAACTAGAACCAACTAGCATGTTTTAGAACATGTAGATGAAGTCAGGGAAATATCCAGTAACATGATGGCTCCTAAATCAAATACTCAGTCTTCAAACTACTAGACACAGATATAGCTCTTCCATAGCCCCACTGCATCAGGTGTAGGCATTCGGAATTGTGATAGAAACATCTTGTATTTATTCCATGAAAACTAAACAGCCTCCTAAGACCGCTCTTCCTTTCTCCTTCCCATTCTCTAGGACCTCATAGTTGACCAGACAATAGAGAAAGTCTCATTCTGTGCCCCAGATAGGAACTTTGATAGAGCCTTCTCTTACATCTGTCGGGATGGCACCACGCGACGCTGGATCTGTCACTGCTTCATGGCTGTCAAGGACACGGTGAGTCCAACTCTGTGTTCACACATGAGTGTCCTTGCCCGAACTTCCAGACTGCCTCAACCAAGCAGTCTCTACAACCTTTTTAAACAGTGTATGATAGATTTTGTTCCTTTTATTCAAGACATTTACACTCCTGCTATTATCTCTGTCAGTGAGATCAAGGCCAGCCTGCAAGACCCTCCTCAAAAAAAGAATAATTTTCATCCTTCATGTAAATTATACAAAATTCTAACATGAAAGACAAGTCTCTTAGATTACAATAATCTTACTGTGCTTTTATTTTTATAATTTTTAAACTATCTTTATGTAGTTTTACAAAGGGCTTTCAATTCAGCATGTCTGTTTCTGATCTTACTTTATATTTCATTACATATATAGTTTCCTGATTTTTTTGTTGGTGGTGGTGGTGATCATGGAGCTTGAACTCTGGACCTGGGCGCTGTCCCTCAGCTCTTCAGCTCAAGGCTGTGCTCTACCACTTGAGCCACAGTGCCACTTCCAGTTTTCTGGTGTTTAATTGAAGATAAGAGTCTCATGGACTTTCCTTCCCAGGCTGGTTTTGAACTGTGATCCTCAGATCTCAGCCTCCTGAGTAGCTAGGATTATGGATGTGAGCCACCAGCACCCAGCAAGTTTCCTGAGTTTTTAAAAGTCCAGATAGAATACGGCATTTGCCAAACAACAATTTAATTAAAGTGGTATGGTCATGTTCATGCTCTAAAATTGATCAAAAGAGTCTTAAAACTTTTTTGAGATGATATAAACAAATGTTAAGGGTCTGAGGCTCTAGGTCAGACCTGCCGTTCAATCCTGGCTGTGTTTCCTACCAACTGTGATATAGGGCAAGTTTTTTAACATTCTCTAAGTCTTAGTATCTACTTCTATAAATGCAGGTTAGCATTGTGAAGACTATAAGCACATTTAAAACATTTTATTGTCAGATCATGATCCAGTGGCTATTTGAATCTCTCAGGCCAGTTTGACTGTATAAGAATCACCCAGTAGGTTAGACTGCTTTCTTAGGAATTTTCATTCTGGGTCCTGGGTTGAAGCTTGAGAATTTGCATTTATTACCAACCCAAGTGGTTATTCTTCAAGAATTTCTCCTGAACCAAGGTCAATGAATTTAACTCTTGCCTGGTGGTAGTGGCTTACAACTGTAATCTTAGCTACTCAGAAGTATGAGATCTGAGGATCATGGTTCAAAGCCAGCCTAGGCAGGAGAGTATATGAGATTCTTATATCCAATTAATCACCAGAAAACTATACATAGAGCTATGGCTCAAAGTGGTAGAGTGCTAGCCTTGAGCAAAAAGAGCTCAGAGACAGCACCCCAGGCCCTGAGTTTAAGCCCCATGACTGGGGGAAAAAAAGCCGGGCACCAGTGGCTCACACCTGTAATCCTAGCTGCTCAGGAAGCTGAGATCTGAGGATCGCAGTTCAAAGCCAGGCCAGGCAGGAAAGTCTGTGAGCTTATTATCTCCAGTTAACCACAAGAAGACCGGAAGTGGTGCTATGGCTCAAGTGGTAGAATGCTCACCTTAAGCTGAAGAGCTCAGAGACAGCACCCAGCCCCAGAGTTCAAAGCCCCATGACCGACAAAAAAAACCACTCACTATTACTGTTGTTTCTGTTCTTTACAGAAAGCATAAATAGCTAGTTCTTCATTTTTCTCATAATTTTACTGAATTTTGCTGAGCTATGGCTATTATAAATGTCATTTTTGTGTTCTTCAGGAATGCAACAAAACTGTCTCCAAGAGTGTGTGCTTATTATGTGTAGTATGTGAGAAGGACTGAAATCCTTAAATCTATAACTTTTGTTCACTTATATCTGCAAAGAATTTTTTTATTTTTTATTTTTATTTTTGGGTCTGGTCGTGGGACCTGAACTCTGGGCCTGGGCGCTGTCCTTCAGCTCTTCAGTTCAAGGCTAGTGCTCTACCACTTGAGCCACAGTGCCACTTCCGGCTTTTTTTTTTCTGTTTATGTGGTGCTGAGGAATCAAACCCAGGGCCTCATGCATGCAAGGCAAGCGCTCTACCACCAAGCCACCTTCCCAGCCCAAGAATTTTTAATTTAAAGAACTAGCTGATGGTAAAAAATATATATATATTGAATTTATTAGAGACCATATACATAATAAACACCAAATCATTAAAAAGGAAGAAGAATTTCTGCCTTGGCCTTGAATAAACAATAAACCGATTTCACTTGTCTTTGTCCTTCTAACAGAGCTATGCTCAAATGCAAACAGGTCCTAAGAATCTTTCAGGTCTCTCCACCCTAGCCTTATATCATTCAACTGGGAAGTCAGATAGCAGTGCTCAGTCTAGTGAAGTCAAAATGTTTGGAGCAATGTAAAATCTGTCTTAGAAACAAAGAGCATGTTGCACATTACCTGTCCTACTGATGTCTGATATTGGCATTTGAACCCCAGTAAAATAGCTTACTCAACAGCCCTAAGTAGAAACAGCTGACCACATGGTTTGATTTTTGAGAATACCACAAAAGCTTCCCTGTTTTCAGATGCCTCTTCCCACGATTAATGATGCCAACAGTTACTATAGCATCTCTTTAATATTTTTTACTGTACAATGAAGGATTTGGTTTAAAATACAGATAACTTCGTCCTGGCCACGCCCTTGGCTGCCGGTGCTCAGCTCCTGAGGTGCCGGCTCAGTCTGGCAGGACGCATAGTGTACCCCCCTCAGTTTAGGAGGGCAGCCCGAAGAATGGGTCTGGCTCTTAAAGGCACGAGGGGACAATTTCCAAAAAAAAAAAAAAAATACAGATAACTCTGGTAAAAAATAATCCATTGAATTGTTGACTTTTGGGCTAATCAAATATACGTATTACTTATAGCCATGTTTATATTTGCTCCATTCTCTTCCCACACACAATATAAGCACTTTAAAAAAAATCTATTGATTTTCTCAGTAGAGATTATAGTTAAAAAATATGCTTTTAGAGAGTGAGACGGGATGACAGTGTACAAAAGGAAATGTACTCATTACCTGACTTATATAACTAATCCCTCTGTACATCACCTTTTAGTAACAATAAAGTAATTTTTTCAAAAAATATGCTTTCACTTTTGCCTTTGTGTGAAAATAAGGACAGCCTAAAAGTACTAAGAGCCAAAAATGGAGAAGGTGGTAAGAGAATGGGCACTCAGAAAAAAGAAAACTGGACGCCAAGCTTTCTTTGTTTAACTCCCTTGTAAAATCAAGAACTTATCAGAAGGTTTAATTTCACACCTTTTCTTCCTAGACATGTTGACAATGTGTGTAAGCTCCCAAAATGCCTAGAAAATATTCCCACAATTCCCTCTTAAAGGGCAGTTGGATTTACCTTAGAACTTTGAGTAGTGTGTAACCAGAGCTCAGGTGACAAAAGGAACATTGCAATAAGGAGCTCCCAGTGGCTCTTCACAAAAACAGATTTCTGAAGATCACTTTATCCAAGACCTGTAATATAAGCACTACATTAATTTGGTATACTAACATATGAAATGTAATTTTAAACTGGACTTTATATTTTGTCTTGCATAAAAACAGATACATTTCTGGTTGTTGGTATAGCACTTTTAAAAGGCTTTAAAAACCTTCTATCTGTAGGGTGAAAGACTGAGCCATGCAGTAGGCTGTGCCTTCGCAGCCTGTTTAGAGCGTAAACAGAAGCGGGAGAAGGAATGTGGAGTGACTGCTACTTTTGATGCCAGTCGGACCACTTTTACAAGAGAAGGATCATTCCGTGTCACAACTGCTACTGAACAAGCAGAAAGAGAGGAGATCATGAAACAAATGCAAGATGCTAAGAAAGGTACAATTTGTTCTACAGTGTGAGTTTATTTAATACCGTTCCCCCCCCCCGCCCCCCGCAGATTAATAGTTTAAATCTAGCAGGGACAAGTTTTATCAAATCAAGAAAATGCTCAGAGCTGGTTGAATAGCTCAGTGGTAGAGCACTTGCCTAACAAACACAATCTGGTACCTAGCAGGTACATATACCCTCCCCCAAAAGAAAACCCTTATTAACAAAATCCTGAAAATCCTACAAAAGTGCCTAAATGTGCCTAAAAGTGGCGAATTTAATGGCTTAAAAACCATTTATTCTTTCTATTATAGTAAGCTCCTCTGGGGCAGGTTGAAGAAAGTTCAGAGACAACCTAGCTCCTGCCTCATCCTGGAACAGATGTTCAATTCTGATGTATCTAGTCTCTATGAGAAGCAAATGCGATCAAAGACTTAGCATTTTGAAGGAAGAAGCATAAGCCCAACATGGTTTAGGACTGCCAAGGAGACACTATGATGCTGTCAGAGATTTAACAGTGAGATTGTGTTGATTAATTACTGCTAAAATTTTTAATGCTTTATTCACAAAAGTCAACCCCTACCTCTTTCCCATAGACCTGTTAATTTTAGTGTGTAGTTTTATAGAATAATTTTTTTTGTACACATAGCATCATCACAGCAATGTCTATGTAAACATTAGTAGTCTGTAAAGTTGAATTGGGAGTATTTTAAAATTAAGATGGTGGGGGAAAATGTTTTATGTAGGGTAAAACCACAAGAAATTCACAAACATTTATTTCTAAACTGGCCATCATTTATCTAATACCCAAACAGCACAAATTCTTATAATCCCTGTGCTGCAAAAAATTTTTCATAGTGATGGGAATTCAGGAGGTCTCCCTATATTGCTCAGACTGGCCTTGAACATCTGCCTCAGCTTCCCAAGTACTGAGACTATAGCATACACCACACACAGCTAAGAGTGATTTTTTTTCATCTATTGTACACATTTGTGCCAGGATATCAAGATGTAAAAAATATACTAAGAACTAGAATTAAGGCTCAAGTGGCAGAATGCCTGCCTGGAAAACATGAGTTTACCCTGAGTTCAAAACTCCAATACTTGACGGGGGAGGGGGAAGGCTGGGAAGGGATGTGAAGGGTAAACAAAGGAGGAGGATGCAATGCTTGGTAAGAAATGTACGCATTATCCTGCCCATGCAATTGTAACCCCTCTGTACAGTATGTTCACAAATAAAATTAAATTAAAAAAAAACTCCAATACTAAAAAAATAGGTAAATAAAAATGAGTCAAGTATGAGGGTACATGCCTATAGTTCTAGCTATTCCTTTTCAAGCAAAAAATTAAAAAAAACAACTCATGCTTTTTTTGGGGGGGGGGCTAAAGGTGGGGGGCAGGGAGCAGTATTGGAGTTTGAACTCAAGGCTTTGTGTGCCCTAGGCAGACACTCTGCTGTCTTAAGTCATGCCTGCAGCCCACATCATGCTATCGGTACTTGAAAAGTCTATCTGCATAGCTATTATTTAGTATGCTGTAGTGATTTTCATTTATTTATTTCATTTTCTGTGATATTGGGGCCTCACACATGGCAGGTAAGTACTCTGCCACTGGGCTCCACACCAGTCCTGACAGCATATTCTTTAATACCACCAAATAACACTGGGATACACAGCAACAGACTAATTGAGTCCTAAAATCTTCATTGGATTGTGAAGATTAAGGGTAGAGATTTGCCATAGTCAGAATGGAGCTCAACTCTTGCTCATGTGGAAAAAGTCTTTTATATTTAGGTTTAATAAAATTTAAATTTTATCCTTCTTTACTCTTTTTTTTTTTTTTGGTCGGGTCATGGGGCCTGAACTCTGTGCCTGGGTGCTGTCCCTCAGCTCTTCAGCTCAAGGCTAGCGCTCTACCACTTGAGCCACAGCACCACTTCCGGCTTTTTTCTTTTTGCTTATGTGGTGCTGAGGAATCGAACCCAGGGCCTCGAGCATGCAAGGCAAGTGCTCTACCACTGAGCCATCTTCCCAGCCCCAGTATTTGTTTTTGAAAATAATAGTTTATTGGAACAAAGCTATGTATATTTGTTTACATGTTGTCTGTGACTGGTTTTATGCTATAGTGACAGAGTTGAATAATAGCAGTAGAGATTATATGGCCTGCAAAGCCCAAAATATTGGCTCTCTAGCCCGTCAGAGATGGCTGGCCAGTCCCTGATTTACACAGTTTAAAAACTTATTACTCGAACTTCGAGTTATTTTTTACCATGATAGCATCAATATATGAAATGAAAGAGCAGTGTTAGGATCTTTTAGTCTACCAAGACTGTCATCAAAGATGTTATTATCATCATCCTTTTTCGGTTCATTTTTTAAAATAATTTATTTCAGTTGCCTTTTACAGTAGGCAGCTTTTAAATTTAGGAGAAATGATCTTATAGTGTGCTGAGCTTAAGTTACCTTTTTGGTATTACTTTTGTAACCATTTTGTGTTCATTCACCAGTATTTTTCATGCTGCTGTTACCTGTGCATTGAATATGGTAGTACACCTAGAGCCCCAGCACATAGAAAGCTAAATAATAAGGATTACAAGTTCAAGGGCTACCTGGGCTACATAGAGTTAAAGAGTAGTTTGAGCTACATAGCCAGACCTTATCTCAAAAATAATAATAATAATAATACCTGTACACCACCTATATGTGTCTTTCAATACAAGTTTTCTGATTTAGTCCTTTGTATTGACTTACTTCCTGCCATCTTTTCGATATCTAAGCCTGCTTGGTTGTTATATTGGATTACATTTACTCATAATAAAAGGAATTTGGGGAAGATGTTATTTTATTTTAGGCTGGATATTTAGAGAGTAAAATGGCTAATTTTGAAGAATAAGTAATTTTGTCTTTATTGTGAAACTCTTTTTCATGACATTATGCTAGGCCGTATGAAGGCCACCTGCAACTTTGAAATTATTATTAAAATAGAATGTGTTCCAGCCAGGTATGGTAGTACATACCTGTAACCTTAAGATTACTACTTGAGAAGCATAGACAGAATGTTTTAAGGAATTGTTCATCTTCTAATTCTTTTTTTTTTTTTGGAAGGTGGCAGGTACTGGTATTTGAACTCAGAGCCTTGTGCTTCCAAACATGCTGTACCATTTGAACTGTGCCTTTAGCCCTTTTAGTTTCTTTCTTTTCTTTTTTTTTTCCTTTGTGGCTATACTGGAGTCACTCCACAAGCCTTTCAATTCTTTAATTCTTGATGTTGTGTAGTGTTTCTATCCTCTTTTTACCCCAATCATTGTCTCACAAATCTAAAATTCTCTATTGGGTTTCAGAGCCATAAATCCAACTGCCGTTTGAATAACTCTACCTGGGTATTGCACAGACATCTTAAACATGGCTTGAAATTTTATTCTTCTCTCAAACTTGCTTTTGCATTGCTTCTATTCTCTAAGCTAGTTAATGATACATTCTACTCCCAGTTACCCACGAGAATCCTCAGTTCCTCCTTGATACTGTTCAAAACCTTCTTGTTTCCATATCTGAATCAGTCAGGAAAGCTTTGCCCCCCTTTTTCTGGAATCTTGTAGTTACTTTGCTTCTCGTCAGTCTTTTTCCAGTCTGGGTACACTGCTGCCAAAGTGATGGGGGTTTTTTTAATGGAAATCTGTTCATTGTGTTTAAATTCCTCTATAGTTTCTGATGACTCACAGAATTAGAATCCAGTCCCTTAGCAGTCATACAAGGGTCCTCGTAATGAGGCCTTTTCTACTGGGTTTTTGTCTCCCTCCCCAACATTCCTCACTCACCCAGCATACTTTCAAGCCATACTGAGATATTTGCAGAACCCTTCACTTGTGTCTTGTTTGCCGTCAGGTCTTACTCTGCTGGGATGTTCATTACCTGTTACTCCCTTGCCTCCTGAACTTCCTAGGGCATCAAGAAAAATCATTTCAAAACCGAGTTCTGCCTTCCTGGTATAGCCTTCCCCAGTTCCACAGAGAGATTGGACTGCATCTTCTGTCTGGCATTACTGTATCTTGTTTTAGCTCTACTCTAGCTCTTATTACTGTATTAGTTATACTTTTATCTGAGTGTGGAGTATGAGCTCTTGCATTATTTCTGCTGGCCAACAAATCATATGTACTCTTCAAATATGTGGTAGCGATGGAGCTATGTAGCTAGCGTGCATCACACCAGTTTATTTCACTAATAGCATGCTTCTAGTGCCTGGATCTCCTGGGCTCAGACACATGGAAAGGAGAATTGTAGACACTTTGGTTATTCCCTCTTCTTCCTTTTAGAAGCCACTACCATGTTTTTATCCAGTACCATGTTTTACTCTATACTTAGGATAATCAGATACCTAGTCTCAGCCTGTTTGCTTTTGTTTTATTTTGCTTGTGTTCTTGGGGCAGTTAAGGATATTGTTAAATGGATATTGCATTCTGTCTCAGGAGAAATCAAATATCAACTTGTTCTCATATGATTCTGTGTGCCACACACACACACACACACACACACACACATGTGTGAGCGCATGTGCACAAACTGCAGTGTTTCTGCAAGTAAAAGGAAAATTTGTGTTACAAGTTATTTTCTCTGTTTTTTTTTTAATTTCATTGTAAAGTTGATGTACAGAGGGGTTACAGTTACATAAGTAAGGTAATGAGTACATTTCTTTTTGAACAATGTTTCCCCCTCCCTTTTTTTCTCCCATTCCACATTCTCAGTAGTTTTTAAATCTTCCTGTGTCCCCAAAGTATCTTCATGAACTTCATTTCACGGTAAAAACTAAAGTCTATGTTACAATCTTGAGAGGAGGAATAGTGGGTGGGAAGAATTGTTAGTATTACAATAATGAAGACTTTTTGCTCTATTTAACATAAAAATTTCAGGTGACCAAGGTTCCTGCTATGACATTGGGACCAGAAAATAGTGAAATAGTCAGCATTTCCATTTAAACTTAGCTGTTACTTCTCATTCTAAATAGACTCACAGAAG